CCTGAAGTCCCAATACCTACATAGGAGTTACTGGTATTGAATCAGGAATCATGTAAGCCTATAGAATTAAAATATCATTTGAATTGATTGGCTCCTTTACAGACAAACAACATGTATGTGTTTTTAGTTGCAATTAAGACACCAACAACTATGATGCAATTCATTTCAAAGTTGCTTGCTCAGGCAACAACATGGTTCCAGCTAAAATTTATGCTGATGGACATCTGTGGATGTTGAAGCTCCATTCTATGGCTTACTAAATTACCGATAGCATCTCTTTGAACAAAATGGATATGAAAACTCAGAGATTGGATTATGACAAAAGCCACATGAGACTTTGAGGACACAAACACACTATTAAATGCGCAGGCCATATTCAAATAGCTGCAGCGTGCAAGGCCATTCCAAAAATATACCTAGGAGATAGTCAAGCAGCCCAACAAGATGAACAAAAAGAATAATCATATGAATTATCTAGTTCAGCTCTCATGATCACTATTATCATAATAATCTGAGAAGATAAGCTAGCCATTGACTCAAATATAATATTATTGTTTTTTTGATAAATACTCAAATATAATATTATTAATCTGTTATGCCTTGTGAATTTTATTATAACAGTATTGAATTTTCAAGCATTCTCAATTCCTATAGCAAGCATTAGTTTTAAGGCATGGAAAAAACCAGTCCGGATTCTCATGTGTAAATCTAACCTGCACATGACCAGTATCAGCCCAAGATGCACATATATGTGGGTTTGGGCATGGCCCTTATTCGATTAACACATCCTTCATGAGCTACCTTGCGCAGCTGTAAAAGAACAAGAATAAATGGATTTATAAAGTAGATTAAGGTAGAGAAAAGTTTAAAATGATAAAGGTGTGTCAAAAGAAAAAAGATAATAATAATATATCACATTCAAGAACATAGGAAAAAAAGCATTGCCTGCAAACTGGTGCCTGATTCGCATCTAAATGCGTTCATATTGAAACAAATCAAACTCGTGTGAAGCAGTATGCTGATTGCACCACCAAGGAAAGCCAAACCAGGACCACAAAGTCTTGAGTAGTGCAGTGTTTAAATGAGTTGGGATGCTGTCTGAAGGTGCTTCTTTTGTCACTGCACTTTCCAGCTCCTTGGGTTTTACTGTAATCTGTTGTATGTATCTTATCAGAATCTGTTTCTTGCTATTAGAGACTCGTCACTCATGTTTAAATATATATAATAGAACACTTGCTTCTCTTATCTCTCATTTAATTGCACTGGAAGTAGTAAAAAGACAGAGTGTCGAAAAGTAGTTTTAACCCTATTTTCACTAGTTGTCATTGGGAATGGGTTTGATAAAAATGGATTGCTTTTCCAGGTAGATAACTTGGCTGCATACGATATTTTTTTATCAAATTTTGACAGACGTTAGGGATTAGGCCAAATTGGGAACAATAACTAATTGGGAGCAAAAGTTAAGGGCTAAAGTAAGAATTCATTAATATTTTAAAACAAATATAGTTTAAGGGTGACTTAAAAGAGTGATGTAAACTGTGGAGGCGGGGCCAGCCATTTGAGTGCCTTTCTGGGAGATTATCGACCATGGGGCCTTAGGTATTAGTGAGTTAAAAATATAAAAGTGCAATGCTGAAGACTCTTAAATTTACTCAGAATTTAGTTGTTCTGAATGTGTGGTTGGTTGCTTGAAATTTGTAGGACTTAAAAATATGATTGTTTTTAGAATTTAGTTTGAGCTGATTCTTGTTACTTAATTTAAGTAATTGCGGCTTTGGTCTGTAAATGGAATTTCTGAGAACGACGTGAATTGGAGGTTCGGTTTGGTTCGTCTGATAAGCATGGGTTTGAGGTTTGAGCTGCTGATCTTGAGATTGTGTCATCCCTTTTTGTACATTTTTCCGGTCTCTATGACAATTTTCAGTGTCGTTGGAATGGAGCTACAACCTGTCATTGCTTAATAATTAGAATTCAATAATTAACCATTGGTGTTAGCTTGAATAGTCCAAATTTCAGCTGTATTATTACTTGTACCAATGGGACATTCTTAAAGCTTTAATCCAGTGACAAACTTGATTTTTTCTGTGATATTTTTGTGAGATGATTAAATGATTAACTCTTTTCAAACTAGTATTTGATTGTAAGAACAATTTTGAACCTCTTTGTACGCTATTGGAACAGGTTTTGGCATCCAAGTAAGTCAATTAATGTGCTCTTTGTATCCATTTTTGTTTTGGCATCCAAGTTATCAACTAATATATGATGTATATTTTTGCAGTAGTGTTGAGGGAGTAGTTGATATGATTGAGTGGGTGATATTGAGAGTTAATTCAGTTTTTTTTTTTTTTTTAGTACTTGAATCTATTAGTATTTTGTATAAATATTTTAAGGATGGTTGATGGAATATTTGTTTTGTGTGTATAGAAGTTTATATTTGTATGCACATTTTTTTTTTTTTTTTGAAGAAAGATATTTTGAGGGAAGTGATGGAAAATAATACATGTGTATTAGAATTTTTGCAATATCACGTTATATTTATTGTATATAATACTTGAATAATATATATATATATATATATATATATATATGAGAATATAGGTTGCTAAAACATTGTAGGTATTTTATTTATTTATATTTTTTTTGCGACGGTAACAAGATGGTCGCTAATACATTGTAGGTATTTTTTTAATTTTTTTGCGACGGCAAAATATTAGTCGCGATAAGTAGATTAGGCGGTCGCAAATAGTTTGCGACTGCTATTTTGCGATCGCAAAAAGTATTTGCCACCCCCACATTCGCGACCCCCATTTGCCGTCGCATGGACCGTCGCAAAAAGTCTTTTGCGACTGTTTTTTATTATTTGCGACGGTTTATAGCGGTCGCAAAAAGTGATTTTTTTAGTAGTGGATAATATAATATAATATCTCACCACAAACGAATAACTAAACTCAAGAAAATCACACCTCACAACATTGTACATGAATTACTAATGTGTATTGTTATACAAGTAGAAAAAATTAAGAACTAATTCATTTTTTTCAGATTGGAAGGTCTAGTTTATATATTGATAAATACCTAATTAGATCACATTTCTCTTCTAAAAAAATAAACAACCACATCCATGCAAACTGGACATTCTAATATAAAAAGTTCATCACATTGGTTAATATTTTCACAATTTCATCTCAAAATTAATACATAACAATGTGATAAATTTTAATTTTATCACTTTAAAATAAAAAAGTTCATCACATTGGTTAATATTTTCACAAAAGCAATAATATATAACTAGAATTTTAATACAGAATTTTATATAAAATGATGTAACTTCTTATAATCATTTAATTTTCAATTAAAATATCTACCATTACTTTCATGATATGAAAATGAAATAAATGTGTTATCTATATAACGTCATGTTTGCAATTTTTTTCCGGAGAAGCCCACGAAGGCCCGTGTGCACGTGTCAAAAGCCCAGTTATTTTTATTTTTATTGAGTGAAAAGCCCAGTTGAAAAGCCCACTCCTCTGGGTGGGGTGTAGATTGTAGTTGTGTGGGGGTGTGGGGAATGTTCCATGGGGTGTGGGTGTTTTAGTTGACTCAATTTTAAATAAGAAAAATGAAAATTTTATGGAATTCTTATATAGAATTAATAATGAGAATGTTATAGTTTTGAAAATATAAACTATCTTAATCAATCTTTTTCTTTAACAGAATAGAATTAAAACTTTTTAAGTCGTTTTATATTAATTATATATATATATATATATATATTATTTACAATACTTAACTGAATATAAACAAATAACTTAATTCAAGAAAATGAAACCTTGTGTACCTTACCAACATCAATTTTTAATTTATAGTGTCAATTGAAAGTGTGACACATTGGTTAATGGTTTTTGATTATTATTTCTATTTTATTTTGAGTTAATGCACCTTCATGGCAACCAACATGGAATATGCAAAGAGAAAAATTGGATACTTACCTTATGGCCTTTTATTTTTGGAAAACGTGAAGGAAATTATTTTTTCATATGATTACCCCCCCTCCCCCCAGCAACACACACAGGAAAATAAAATATAAAAATAAATAATTTAATTTTAAAAATATGCTTAGTCATTTTTTTTTAAGACAAACGTAATAAATTAAAAAATTCAATTATCAAATAGATTTAATTTTTTTTATGAATAATATACATAGATGACCTTACAAATGAACTATTCGGATAATTAAAACGGGACTCGTTGTGGGCCCTACAAATCCAAATAAGACGGTCAAATTCAAAATTTCAGAGAAGTCTTAATGCTTAAAAAATTATTTTTCTTACTATTTTTTATCTTCTTAATCATCCAAACAAGTGATAAGAGATTTCTATTGTGGCATGTTTGATTGGAAGGATTAAAACATAGGATTGGGATTATTAATCCGTGGGCCCAATCATCCTATGTTTGTTTTGACATTTTAGTTTAGGATTATTAATCCAATGGATAATTAATCCAACAAATTTGTAGGATTATTAGTAATGGGGTAGGGGTGGGATAACTAATACCACACTAATTTAATAGGATTATTAATACCTCACTATTAGTGTTGTGAATCAAACATGGCCTTGGAGTATTATTTTTGTTTGATCAACAAAGATAAATTTATTGATTTAAGACAATCACATTATACAATGAAAATGGGTGCAAATCTTAAATTTAAATTTTTGAACAATTTGATAAATTGAAAAAAAAAAAAAAATCTATTAGCAGTTGTTGAATGTGACAGCTACTAAAGGTGAAGGACATTCTTAAAGAAAAAGAAAAAAAAAAATATCAATCACATTAAATAAAATCTATGCCCTATGTAATAGAAATGATAAACATGTAGGTACAAATGAACTACAGAGAAACATAGATTTCATTTATTGATCAAATATAAAAATGAAAAATAAAAAATAAATAAAAAAACAAATAAACAAACATAGA